CGGAAACGTCTCCGAGCCTCCCGCTTGGTTCTCTGGGCTGGACGCAGCGCACGCCGCCTTCAAGCGCCTGCCAGAACCTCGGGATATCATTAGCATAATTTATTCACCTAGACCGAGGGGCCGGCACCCAGCGCGCCTAGACCCGGGAAGGCTGGAGATTCGGCTATTAGCATAATCTATGCAAAGCTGCGGCCAGCAATCTCCCCCCCCCCCGCCAGTCTGCCGCTGCATAACGTTCCGTTCATGCCTGAACTCCACGGGATCGAGCCGCCTGTTACTACAAAAGGGGGTGACTGCGGAGGGGGCGGGGTCAGGTCCAAGCTCTGCCAGGAGGAGAGTTGCTTTCCTAGGAAGAAAATAGGACGTCCAGGCGCAAAGAGGCTTTAATGACAAGGGACAGACTAATGGTGCGATCGGATTGATGTCAGCGGAAAAACAGTTGTCCCATAGACCAACTCCTGGATCGCTTACCGTGGCTTTGTTCCACGGAGCTGAGCGGCTGTCTTTGCATATCACCTTAACCCATTAATAACTCCACCATGGTGATTCCCTTAACTCAGCGCTCTGGATTCCTCGGACACAAGGAACCATCAACTGGGGTATTGCTCACAAGGCAGGCTAAGTTTCACATGGCTAGGTTGTGGCTCAGTAGATGTCTGGATGACTGTGGGCAGGGGCTTATGGAGAGATAATGGCCAGCCCTCGTTTCTCGGCCCTTGCCCTTCCTGGTGGATTAAACATACCGGGCTGGGATTTTCCCTTGGCAAAGAGAGGCAAATTCCCCCTCCTTAAGTAAGGGATGTGTTCCTGCCTATTTAAAGGAGGCAGGAACTTTAAGACTTATATTTACTGAAAAAGCCTCCTTTCCTAGAGGAAATCTCCAATTATAGGTCAGTCTCAGATGCTGCATTCTTGGGCAACAAGACTGAGGAACTGCAGCTTGGCAGCTTCAGAGGCATCTGGGTGAAGCTGATTTTCTGAAGCATTTCAACAAGGATGTGGTGCTGGGACGCCTTTGGTGGCTGTGGTGGGTGATCTGTACTGGAAGTGTGTGTCCCTGTTAGTTCCCTTGGACCTCTTGGCAGCTTTCAATGCCATCAACCATGACACCTTCTGGACCATTTAGAAGGGGTTGGCCTTGGGGAACTTACAAGGTTCCAGTAGGAGAAGACTAGAAGACAGTACTAAAGGACTATTGATGAAACACCTATGCTGATCTGGGGGGGGGGGGTAGAGGGTGGATGTCATCAAGATACGTAGCCGTACCGCTCCATATCAATGGGGTGGCAATGTCAAATGTAACAGGTTGACTACTGTATAAGCTAAAAAGGTGTTTAATTTCAAACTTCTACATTTTAGAAGGTTTGGATACCAAACAGCGCTGCAACTTTGTTGCAAATCCTTAGTATAAATATATTTTGTTAGGTTTATAACTCACAACACTTTGAAAGCTTGGCTTTGTGCTTGAGCCTGGGGCCCTGGGCGTGGGTTAGAGCCCATCTGCTGGTTGTATGGATGACAGGTTAGATCATACCCGGCGACTATGTGTTTTTATTTTTGCTTTTTATTATGTATGTTGTGGTTTTGTTTGTTTTATTGTAAGCTGCCTAGAGTCAGATAAAAGTGAGATGGACAGCTATATAAATCAATCAAACAAACAAACAAATAAATAAATAAATAGAATTAAAATGTTTTCTGCTTTCCCTTTCACATCCCAATACATCTGATTTTAACCCCCGCAGGCTGGCTTTGCTGAAACTTTGGAAAATGAACAAGTAATGTAGCATTTCAATAAGCCACCCATTATCTTTCGGTTAACCAGTGCAGGGTTTTAAATTGCTGAAATGAAGGAAGAGCAGGAGGGAATGTTTATATCAGCAATTGTCCACTGAAATATTGCAGTAGTTGACCCTGATCCAAATTAGAATTCTTACAGATATGGAACTATGGGGATGAAATGTGATTTATTTATTCATTAAATATAATCCTCAAAGGTTGCTTACTTCTCCATCCAGTACTGTGTAGCATAGTCATATGGCAGATGTGCTATTTTATCATGAGTATATTCAGCAAACTCAACAAAACCAAACAGATTGACCTGTTCTTAGAGCTGAGATGATCGTGGAATGCCTGGAAAAAATGTGGAATGCAAAGTAAGGCTATTATAGACAGGTACTATGAAATCAGTGTTAACAATGACAACAAAAAATGCCAGAGTATTAAAATTAATAAATCATGTTTAGGGCAACATTTTGATTCCATGGTCTAGCCCCAAAATGTTTCCTATGTCCCGTGGTGCCTGACAGGTCTCTTGTCCCACCTCACTTTACATATACATATACATATACATACACACACACACACACACACACACAAACATACTGTACATACATACACACACATGAAAAAGAAGCTAGTATGCTCCAGCATCAGCCTTATTTTCAAGGATGCCTTTGTGCCCCAAATAGTCCTTATAAAATACACTAGAACATAGAAATGGTAGACAACAACATCCCAACGCTTTCTTTGCAAATGTGCCCACCTGCCCAGAAAAATGTCAGGTAAGGTAAATGGTAAGCAGGGATTGCAGAAAGCATTTGGGAGAATGGAATAGAGAGGAAGCCCTCTGGAAAATCCATGCTTTGTAAAAAGTTATAGCCTCCCACCAGCCATTTTGTGAGGGGGCCACAACATATTCTCAGGATTGAGAATCCTTGTTGTAATGTGTCAAAATATTTGAGCTATAATAATACCTATAATGCTTGGGAACACACAGAATACATAAAACTGGGCAGACAGCAAATATAGCAAGATATAGTAAGAGCCAAATTGGGCATTTGCCAGTCCTATGACCAACAGAGGACCCAGAGTATATTATGTTTCGCAGACAATTGAGGGAGATCAGATGTAGCCTAAAGGAATGTTAAAGATCCATGTCCCACCATCATTGCAGCTTATGGAGCCCTCCCAAAGTAATATACATGCAACCTCCATCCAACCCCACTCCCAAATCCTGGAGTGCAGGAGTTCCTCTCTGCGCCATTCTAAAGACATTTGGCAGTCACCACAATATAATGACCACAGTATTTGGTAATATCTTCTGACATTGGGGTTAAATATTATAGTTACCACTTCAATATCCACTCGTCTACCTAAAGCACATTGCAGCTATTCTTGTTGACAGCATCTGGTAAGTCAGCAACTAGATTTATTACAGCAAGACTATAAAAAGAAACAAAATATAACAGGTTAACATAGTTTTAACAGGAAATGAGAGGATAAGTACAGAAATAGAAGTTTCTAACAGACTTCTATTTGTAGCATGGTAATACCAATTTTGTTTGTTTATAACAAAGATTTTTTTAAAAAAAAAAGAGTGTGCAAGATCAATGTTGAAGTGCTTCTATAGACAAACAAATTAACCTGCAAGTTGAAAAATAACACATCTTTACATGGCTCCTGCTCCTACTTTTGCAGGAAAAAAAGACTGTTGTTGAACAAGATTTGTGTATGCCTCATGTATAAAAAAATATAAAGTCTCCTTTGAGTTGAGTTTGACTTTTAAACATCTAGTCTCAAGATTTCCTGGTGATCTCTCATCTAAGGACTACTCTGATTGCATGTGGTAGGATCTAAATCAGAAATGGGCTTTTTTTTTCTTTGAGAGCTGCCTTCTCTTAATGACAATTTGTTGGAAGTCACATACCACATAGTAAATAGGACCACAGCAAGTGGGGGAAGGGGCAGGGCCCACAGTGGAAGAAGCTATCCATTGTATCTCATTTTGACAGTTGTCTCTTCTCCGGCTCCATTCACCTCCAGGCAGCAAGGTAGGAGGGGGACAAACTGGTCTTGATGATGATGATTATGTACCATCAAGACATTGTCAGCTCTTAGCGACCACATACAGTAGATACATTTTCTTCATGATGATCTGTCTCTAACATGATCCTTCAACTCTCCCAATGGTGCACTCATTGCTACTATAACTGAATCTGTCCAACATGCTGCTGGTCATCCTCTTCTTCTCTTTCCTGCCACCTTTCTCAGCATTACAGCCTTCTCCAGAGAGCTAGGTCTTTGTATAATGTGTTCAAAGTAGGATAATTTGAGCCTGTGCCTCAAGTGAGAACTCTGGATTGATTTGCTCAATGATCCGTTTGTTTGTTTTCTTGGCAGTCCATGGTATTCTCAGGAATCTGAGAAGTTCAAATGCATCAATTCTCTTCCTGACTTGCTTCTTCATAATCCAACTTTTGCTTCCACAGAACATCACAGGGAATGCCATAGCTTGGATCAAGGTCTATCTTGATGCATGTTGTCTCTACCTGATCTTGTCTAAGGGTAGAAGTTTGGAATTGCTTAACAGAAGACTCCTTAAGAATATTGAACATTTGTCTTAACTAAGTAGTAACTGGTTTTCAAAAATATGTGTTAAATTTAGAGCATGCAAGAGAGACAGTTTATTAAAAAAAAGAATCAGGGAATTATGTTAAGGTAACACTTTAATATTTTACCATAACCTGCCATATAAAGGATTCACCCTGATACCATTAAAAGACTGAGGCCATGTCAATATGAAAGGATGCACCGATCTGAGACTGATGTCACTCTTACATGACCCCACAACTCTGTGGAAATTCTGGCCGTCTTGGAAAGCTGAGCCAATTCACTCTGTTAGTTAATAGAGTGCTCCAGAAAAAGTACTCAGAAAACCGTAGTGCAGCACCTTCTGAAGCTGCCGGGTGGCCTCCTATTGGTGGGAATTCCTCCATTGTCACACCTCTTGCCTCTGGGCTTCCCCTCCTCCTGCTGAACAGAGCATTGGACAGCTGAGCAGAAGAAGCTAACACAGCAAAGTGAAGGGTGAAGTCAGAAGCAGGTCACTGATTTTCTTA